CCCCTACATTTTACTCAACTTTAGCCAGACTTTAAGTTAATTCATCTGCATCTCAAGAAAGTGCACTAAGTTTCCACTCCAGTAAAGCAAAACAAATATGAGTGAATGCCTATTTCAAGCAAAAACACTTGACTCAATAAACCACAGAATGTGAAAGTGCTAAACTGTTGCAACAGTGCAGCCTGTACTAACCTATTTTTCAGCTGAACTGAATCATACTGTCTTCATGATGCATGAAGAATATCAAAGACATTATTAGCTCTTACCATAATGGAAAGCAAAACATAATTTTCTTATGATGTGTCTTAAATTTTCAAAAGACTGTGGGGAAAAACTAAGAAAAAAAATGCAAAACCTAGACATCTGGTAAATACAGCAGGCATTTTCCTAGACTGATGGTCCTTGGTGCTCATAAACCCAACAAAGGAGTTATAAATTGATCCTTGCCATTAAGTAGAAGTATAGTTTTATTACTAACATTTAATAATAAAAGGTAATTGAAGCACTAGAAAATTGAGAGAAGTTTGGGTTGAGGCTGTAAATTTGGAATCCAAAGTACTTCTCAGTCCTTATGCAAAGATATAAATAAATGGTCATCCTACCTTCTTTTTGCACTCAGCCAGGAGAAAAATAGCTTTATTGACCTTTTTTTACCAAGTCAAACTTTAACTTGTGCTGATCCTACTGCACTCATTCATATACTATGACTCCCTTCAAAACTCATAATTCTTTTTCTGGTAAGCATCAGTTACTTTTACATTTGAAATACAAACAAGCATTGTGGCCAAGCATATTGCTGCATACTTAGCAAGTCTGAAGGCCAGAAATGTTATTAGAAGTACAATTAGAATTGCTATTGATTGAATCAGTATTGATTGATTCATTCCAGAATGATAACAATACTAATTATGAGAAAATGCCTGCTCACCAGTATCTTTCCTCAATATATCCCGTAAAACTGAAAATTAAAAATATTATACATTTGCAACTCTGTCTACAAAGACATCCATCTTTATAAAGATAAAATGATATTTTTATATATATTATTTTATATTATTATTTATATTCTTTTATATTTATATATATATAAATTTAAAATCTGAAAAACTAGCCATTACAATCTCATGTTTTAAATATCCTTTGGGTGCAAAAGAAAGGGAGAGAAAGTATCCAAAATGAAAAATGGCATACCTAAAAAAAAAAAAGTCAGATACTGAAACCTTGGTCTTCACTTAATTTTACATCTTGATTTTGAAAACAAGATGGCATTTCTACAGGATCAGATTTTTAAACATTATAAAAAGTAGTACTTATAAATAAAATACAGTTTGGGGTTATTACATTTTGAGCTAAATAAAACTGTTTAGAAAATCTATTATAATTATTCCTTCTAAAATATTCAGAGTGATTTTTTCAGAGAAGTATAGATAAAGAAGTATTTTCATATTCCAAAAGTAACAAAACCCTTACGTTTGAAATTATCACGCACCTTTCATAAATTTAACATATTTCTTAAAACTATCAGAATTGACAACTGTGAGCTGTTCAGAACTATGATCTAAACTGATATAGAAAAGCACATGAACACTAATTACAAGGGAAAGGAAAGGGACATTCATTTCACCAGAACAGGACAAATCAATCTGTGCAAGATGTATAGGCTAGTATGTAACTTAGTATAAACAAACACCATGCACATACATTTGTATATATGGAAATTGAATTACAAAGTTTAAAAGTTTCCCAAGTAAACGTAGAATATGTATAAAATAAAAAAAAAATAAAAAAAAATAGTTATATCTAAAATATATTTAAAAAAATCAGAGTTCTGATATTTTGCATAACAGTCAATTTAGGAGCATCAAATAGTAAGAAATCTCTATAAATGGCTTTGAAAGGATTTTTGTTACATTGTTGTGGTTTTTTTGTTTGGTTAGGGTTTTTTTAAACATAGGATATTTAAAATGTACAATTTTAATTATGGAAGAAATTTTGAAGTTTCAATACAGATTTAATTAAAAAAATAACATCAAGAAGATCGAGATATCTAAACCTATGGTTACAAAAAAACACAAACAGCATATTTTTGTTATTGTTATTTTTCAAATTTTTCTCCCTGTAAAAAGCTGACTACCACTCCATCAGATCTGTTCAGCTGGCATTTTGGGCTGCTATAGGGTCAGAACATAGAAACCAGATATGGGTCTGCAACAAAACTACATGCCAGTAGACTTCTGAGAAGTGATAAAGTCCTGGGAGCCCTGACCCCTTCTCAGAATAGAGCTACAGAATAGCTCCAGGAATAATCTTTCAGGCGGTTACCTGTATCATGCATTATGCAGACTTCAATACAAAGATAAGATCACATAGTTCCATCCTTACTTACAGTATGAATTACAGTTTATTATTATTTTGCCTATCAATATATTTTCCTCTGCAGTAGACACAGCTGCAACTGAAACACAGAGTATACTCACAGATGTAAGGATCTTGATGATTGCAATATAAAGGAGGAAAAAATATATTCAGAATTTCAGAAGACAATTAAAAATAAAAGATATACTGGGATCTTTAGAAGGTAAGTTAGTGTGAAGCAGACTACAGAGAAAACTGATCAAGAGTCCACAGCTGGCAGTATACTATAGACTATTGAGAGAAAAGCAGCATAGAAAAATCACGTGAACAGATTTAAATGAGAGAACTGCCCTTTTTTAAAGCAGTATTTTCTAGACTTAAAAAAAGGAAGGTGATGAAGAAGAAAATATGTTTCTATGAGCTGTAGTACTTCATACTGTTCCCCTGTACTGCTACAAAATGAATATTCAGTAATATGCTTTCTGCCTAACAGAAATGTATTTATTAAGCACAAAAAGTTAAAGTTACAAAAGTAATCTAGTACATGTGTTTTCTGCACCGGAAAAATTTTTGGTTCCCTTTGTTATTCTGAGTACCACCCTTATAATGTCTTCAAAGCTGAAAAGTTACTGCAATTATCAAAACTTTTACTAAACAATACCTGAAGTATAATAGGCAGTTACAAGTGAGCAATGTGTAACACCAGTTTGAAGTCCTCATGTTTCTTTTATTTCGATATGTGTAAAGAGGACAGATGCTTATAAAACACCACTAACAAAAGATGCCCCCTTAGAGAAAGTGTAACCTGGATTACAAAAAGCAGTTGCTACCATGGAATTTAGGAATCTACTTTTGTGAGCTTTACAAGTCCAGACATGGTGTTTTTTGTTGATAGCATTGCTACTTATATTTATGTGACTTACCTTTTCTTGAGATCATTATATGAAATAAAATCATGCAAGTGTAAGTACTACCATAGAAAATCAATATGATGCATACAATACATGAACTCAAACCTCACCAATACATAAATAGAATTGTAAATTAAATTTTAACACCTCAAGTTATTGTTTCTTATGTAATCTTACATGGATTTGGTTCTTGTCCCAGTACTGTTATCACTGATCTGGAATCAAGTCTACAATGATTGTTAACTAAGTGTACAGACGATAGGCTGGTGGAATACTGAGTAATGAAAGGAACAGGCCACTTAATAGAGATAGGACTTTATTCTGGAAAGCAGTAATTCTAGAAAGCAATTAGGAAAAATGTGAAACAAAGTTATATATTGGTGGAATTCTTCAAGTAAAATCGTAGGCAGGAAATCTGGGTACAATGCAACAGGAGTAAAGGGAGGGTCAGGTGGAATTACTAAGAAACATTACTTGAAAATGCAGCAGTCCTTACACATATAAAATTTGAAAACTTGTGAAGGGCAGTGGGAAGAAAAAAAGACATGCTAATATGCTAGAAAAGATGCTTTTACTTTAAGGTACTCTAAGAGGTTTATTTTCATTTTATAAAAAGAGAATCACAAGAGATGATATTAAATAACGGTACAAGAGAAAGTTGTGGTAAAACTGTGCTGGTCTTAGCATAACAAGAATTTATGTCTGAAAGTTAGTCACCCATGTTCCAATTATATATCAGGTATGTATTTTTCAATTAGTAGAATAAATGAAACAAAGGACTTTAGTTTGTAGACCCACAAATAAAAACAGACTTTATAAGTGAACAAGTGACCCACTGGGTGGAATTATATGGTTTATGTTAAATAAACGGTTTGAAGCACACTGACATTTTTATCTATGTACATATGAAAATACATTCTAGTTTGAAATGTCAAAATATATCTGTTGGTAAGTAAAAGCTTCTTATTGAAGAATAAAACTGATAGGAAGTGAATTCTTTCCTTGATATTTACAAATTCATAATAATGGTGGCAGCAGGCAAACTGGAAGGTTTTTCATTTTGTTTGAAATTAAAATTACTATTTCTAAATTATGATGTGAAATTAGGGAACATTTATTTTTATGTAACTAAATATATACAATTATAAATAAAAAGTACCTCATTCACAACTGAATTTGTCAACAATGGAAATAAAAAGTAAGCTACTTAAAATATTTATTTGATCTAGTTCAAATAGCCCAATTAAATTTTTGTATTATTAAAAATTTCAATTTAATAATCAAGTAATAATGGTGATGAAAATAAATGTTAAATACTGAGTACTTTCATTAGAGGTAATGGTGTTAGATTAGCAAATGAAATCAATAAATTTTGCTGGCTAGAATTGTCAGGCTCACAGCCAAACCACTTTCTTAAACAAACACCTTTTGTCCTCTCATATAGTACTGAACCAAAAATCTTTGTGAAGAAACCAGACAATTATGTCAATAATAATGAAAGTGAATTTACTAATCAGCTAAAATAACTCCACAATTGAGATAATGTACCTACCATTTAGATAAAAGTAAATATCCATGACTAGCTTAACAGCTGGAGTTCATTCATGATGCAGTAATTTCTAAGTAACTATAACATATACTACAGAGTGTTTATTAGTGTTGTAATTAGTACAGCAAATTCTATTATCTTTTCAGTATAACTGTACTTCTGGAAAAGCAAATATAATTACTTACCAAGATGGTGGTAACAATTAAAGAACGATTAGACAAGGAATCTGTGATGTTTGCTGGTTTTCCTTTCTGATTCTCTGTCATGTTAAGCCCACTCAATGGATCCCAAGTTCCTACCTATAAAATAGTAAATTACCAGGTAAATTTTCTATTAGTTACATTTCAGCATCCAGAAAAGAACACTAAGAGGAAAAAAAGATTGCTGACCTGAAAAAAAAAAAAAAGAAAAATTATTGAAACCTGTTCTATTATTGTTGGTCATTATGTTTAAAGTTTACTTATTTAATATATGATTCATAATACCTCAAAGTGTTTTGTGAAGTGTAACATTAAGTGGAAAAATTGATGCACAGAATATCTAAAGCTACTGAATACTTTTTTCATTCTTCAAGATAAACCACATCTGAAGGTAACTTAAAAGTTAGTTGGAAATTTATCGAAGAGCAAAGACCATAGTCTCTACAGAAGGATCTACCCTTTTCTGTGACCAGAGAGAATGGCACAGCAGAAAGATGTTTTGGGGTAAATGTAATGGAGAAGACTGAAAGTAGGTTAAGTGCAATAGCTTAACTGATTTACAGATAAATATTCAGTATGTAGCTCTTTTGACATTTTATAACTTGAAATTCTTATTCCAATAAATTCAACAGGATTTTTATTTAAGCAAGAAGGTCCAGGTTTATGCTTTATGGTTCAGCTCAAGGATAGTCTCATGTGCTACATCATAAGTTATGTGGCTTATGAATACATATTTTATCTTCAATTTCATCACTCTAAAACTAAACTGGGCAAGCAGTAAACACGCTATATAAGTTTTAGACATCAGAATGCTTGTATTACTCCACTGTCTTGTCTTAAAAAAACTCCAACAAACCAGAAATATTTCTTTTCTGTTTCTAGACAGGACTTGAAATATCATTACAGATATAAAGCATATCTATACTAAAAATTAATGACATTTTTAAACTATATCTAGAAAGAAAACATTCTGTGAGGTCTGATTTTGAGTATATATAAATATATATATGCATATATAAACACATATTTATTTTTTTTAATCTTAAATACTGATTCCTGAGAAATTTTTTATATACTTTTAAGTGATTTGTTACAGTACAGCTGCTTAGTAAGTTTGGGATGCAATCAGGTATGGGTTAAATAAAGAGAGTTTAATTTCTCAAACTGATAACACAGCAGAATATTAATTAGCAGAAGCTGTAATAGAGGAAAGACAAATTTGCTTTAAGATTTTCTGTTCCACAGAAGTTAATATTTTAGATTTCTTCTTTGCATAACACTTAGTTCCAAGTTGTCACTCCTATGAATGGCTGTGATTCTTGAATTTTGGCCATTCAGTCCCTCATAAACTGATGAAAGAAGCATGAAGGGCAGAAAGAACATGTGTGTCTCAGAAAAATAACTATAAAATAAGATCTAACATATAATTTCAAAGTATTGAAACCAAACCTTACTACAAAAAGCTTTTATTCATTTACTTTTTTAATATTATTTCATTTGGTGCCTTGAAAGGTTTTTAGAAAACCTAGAATGTTCAGACTTGCAGCTTGACCACAATTAAAAAAACTGTAAAAGAATTGAGAATTTAGGTGCGATGTTCTGTTAATTATGGCAATCACAGTGTTTGCTTTACTTCAAAGACCAAGCTAGAATATAGTAGCCAGGAATGACAAAGGTGGGAACTCGAGCCTGTCCCTGGCTCTTCCTTCACTTAAATGAAGCTAGACAATTCTCCTTTATGAAATTCAATTTCAGGTACAAATTTCTAAGAAAACACTATCACCTTATTTGATCAAATCCAAATCCTAAACTCATTATATTGTATACTTTATTCAAGTTCATAATTAAAATTTATCTTGGCTAAAGCTAACACACTGCTAATTAAAATACTTCCTACTCTATTTTTTAATGTAGCCACAGTCACAAGCAAATAAATAAACAACAGTCAGAATTTGGGATTTATATAACTATATAGACTATCCATGGCATTACTTTAAAAAGAAACTTGTCTCGACAAATTATTGCATTATTTTTCTAGATGAGGTTAACTGTACTTATATTGCTATTTTTGTAAATAAAAAAATCTAAGAAATGGACAAAAAACATATGTTCCAAACAAGACATTCTTTGCATTATCTTTATTAATGAGCTCTAACCCAACAACTTATACCACATATGTTGATATATTCTAATATGTATAAGCACCCAGATCACACAAATATCTTTTTAAATTTGTTGCTTCTAGAGAAAACTCTGCATAAACACTGCAGCAAATCCATTCTTTTCTATTTGCTTGAGCACATTTATAATTTTAAAATAGCCTTTTGAACAGAACTGTTAATGTGTTTCCACTATAAAATTTTAAAAGCCAAAAATGTACAAAAAGTAAATTGGAGTATTCTATTACATATAACTGCAGTTCAAACAACTTAAAATTTATTTCTACAGCATTAAATTTATTTCCAACAAAATTTCAAGTTTTCTTAAAAAGTGAAATAAAGTGGTATTCTAATATGTGTTATTAAAAATATTTTCAAGACAAATCCAAAATATAGCCACCATGTAAGCTACTATGAATAAATATAACTTTAATCCAGCCAAAACCAGTAAAATAATTCATCACCCCCCCAAAAAAAATGAAGCATTGCACTGTTCTGTAACTTAAAATTTACTGAGTTTACATATACTCTATAGTTTACTGATCATCATTTTCTTGAGTTGTTATCCAAAAATATTCAATAAAGTAGCTTTCTTACTTTGGCATGTTTGAGAAAAAGTGATCTATTTTTACAAGTAAGCCAGTATTGTTTCAATTATTCTTCTTTTTGAACTTCCTTCAAAACTCTCCTGAGAAAAGTAATATATATTTTTTTTTGGCTCTATGCTGATCAAAACAGCACATACTATTCACAATGAAGAATCACAAGCATTGTATTAGGAAGGATCGCTGATCTTCTGCAGTGGTACCATCTAACTATGCAGCCAAATTCAGAGCAAAGTCCCCAAGAACTGAAAAATGTGTCTCCAGTTTACCATCTTTACTTTCTACTATTCTATTTCTAGAATATCTTTTCTATGAGATATCTCAGAGAGTAGTTAGCAATATCGGTGATTACATAAAAAAAAAATTCTTTATACTGCATTGTAAGTAATATTAGTTCTTTTTATGCCTTTCCATTTGCAAAATGCTTAATTTATTTTGCTTTCTTCAGACACATTTCTTTGCAAATACCATGTTAATAACAATAATGCTGGCTTCCATAGATCTGTTATCTCGTTTTTTTCCCCTAATTTTTACAAAACCTTCTGTTTATGTCACTGATTTTTCCCATGTCATTAATAAAGCTACTAAATAGAGCAAGATCTTACATTGATATGCTGGACAATGAATTACAACTTATTTTGTGTCATTTTTTTTCATCCTGTGTGTAAAGTCTTGAGCAAGGTTGCCAGTCAGTTGTTAACATCTTTATTCAAGAAATGTGTTTCTTCATCAGTGAAAACTTTTCTTAACAAAAATGGTATTAAATTCAGGTGTTTTTTTATCTCCCTAAAGTATAAAGTAATTTTCCTTATGATGCATCTCCAGTGTAAAATACTGATTGACTGATTATAATTTAAATGATATTTTACATATAATACTGGATTGTCACAGTTTTGGATTTTCATTGTGCTTGATCACAAATTGTTTCAATGTGTCCAGAGTGTCTGTTGGCAAATTTTGCTGTATCTTGCATCATTAGCAGCACTCTGATTTTTATAATTCTTTTCATTTTCATCTGACAATGCCAGACATGAATTTTTATTTGGAAATACATACTTCTTATTGATTATGTTTGATTATCACTTTTCATTTAGAGTTTCAGGAACAGATACCTCAGATTTTACATACCTTATGTAAAATCTGAGATCACACATGGCATTATTTTATTTTTTTTTTCTGTTGTCAGTGACTTCAGAAGTTATTGTACTTAAAATACATAATTTAGGTAATTTCCCATTATAGTAACCAGGAAATTTATCTAGGACATTTTTTCCCCAATTCTCAAAAAAAAAAAAAAATTAAAAAATAGGTCTTCTAGAAATACTTCACAATAACTCTTTTCCTGACATGAATGTTTTTCTCCTCAAGATATATCATTTTGTCACAAAAACATTTCAGACTACAGCTGAAATTTTTGAACTGTTGTCCTTCACATAAGATGTCTTTCACTAATATTTTGAAAGAAGTTAGATGAAATAATAGATATTTACAGTATGTAAAAATTGCACATAGCACAGAAAATTCTCACATCCCCATCTTCTCTCATCCCACAAAAATGAATGAATGAATGAATGAATGAATGAATGAATGAATGAATGAATGAATGAATAAATAAATAAATAAATAAATAAAAACTCTTTGGGAACTCTAAGTACATAGGAAGAGAGGCTTGATAAGGTGGTAGTTTGCAAGGAACAGTGGGAACACAAAAGAAAAGGACAAAGATGGTGAGTCTGAAGAAAAAAGAGAAAGCGGATGGAAAAGGCAAAGAGATGAAGGGAGACAAGTGGACAGGTATCAGATGGAAAGGGAAATGGGCAGGGATGGGGAAAAGGAGAGAAGGAGAAAAGAGGGGGAAAGAGCAGGGTGAGAAGGAGAGCATAGCAGAAAGCAGGAGAGGAGCACCGGGATGTAGAGAGAAGTGTACATGTGAAGCAAGGAAGGCAGGGGACAGAGATGGAGGAGGATTTAACACAGCTTTAATAAAGACAATCTGAAGGGAAAATAAAATTTTAAAGAAAACAAAAATAATAATAATAAAAACCACACTAATTTGAGACAGCTTTTTTAAATGAAAGACTGGTTAAAACATATTCTTTCTACTAGGAAGTGTCCAGCTCTAGAGTTTAATGGGCTCACCCTGATTTCAAGTATAGGATATTCTTTCAGAATAACCAAGTTTTCTTCAGAGAAAAATATTTTTCAGCATTGATTTATCTTTCTCAGTAAAAGACCTTATATTTACTAAGCAGTTCAATCTGATGTGCTTAATTTTCCTTTTCCGAATCTCTTATCATTGCACCCTACAGAAACTTCTCTGCTCTTGCTCATATGTATCTTTGTGTGTCATTCCTCATCATTCTTTGACAGTATTTTCCTAACTTCTAAACTTTCTTAATACATGATAACTAATTCCTAGTGCTCTTTTCAAAGACTGTTATCATGTTTTACTGAAAGAATGTTATCACATCCCTTTATCGCAGGGCCATGAGCAGTGGAGGCAATAAAAGTATCTTCCTCTTCTGTGAACTTCCGTATAGGGAGCGCAAGCACATACTGGTTATTTTTAGGCATCCATATCCTTTTCACAACTGTTGTCTCTTACATATCTTTCATTATTATTGTTTCACAAGTTAACTTTTTCCTATTAGGGTTTTTAGAGTACAATATTTCCTGTTGAGTTTTATTTTCTGTTTCTAAACTCTGTAGAGCTTTCTGTTTTATTTCTATATTCTCAGCAGGGTACACGTCTAATATACTCACAACTGAGACGTTTTTTATCCAGAAAACCTATGTTGCTTGGTGGTTCTTAAATTCCACCCAATGTTCTTACAGCTAATCTTGATTACAGAGACTTCCTTTCCTCATTTTCAACAGTTGTGATGTGCATGAAGACTCTTCAGCCACTACTGACATACTTAGCTATTTCTATGTCATCAATTCTTTTATTTATGTTTCCAGTAAGGAAGACAAGTTGCATAATACCTATTCTACTTATACACAACGCTAATTTACTTTCCAAGTCTAATCACTGCTATATTCCTCTCCTCCCCTTCCCCTCCCCCCCCTTAAATTTTTCAAGCCCTTCATAGAATACTTCATAGGAAGAATCTTTACTATCAGTACACTGCTGAATGTTTAAAGACATAGTTTAGTCCTTTAATAATAGGTTTACCACAGGATATTCTAAAATAAGTTATTACCTATGGAAGTGTTTCAAAACAAGCTCACGGCTTCTGAACCTTTTCAAAAATCTTCCTAGTAAAAGAATATTAATATTCTAAAAGTAATATTGAGGGGGAAGTTTTGGATTTGTTCTTTATTCTATTTCCTCCATTCAATGATTTATAAAGGAAAGGGAATACAACTCTGTTGCATGGTGTCTTCCGTTAATTTCTTTTTTTTATTTGTGGCCACAATATCACCTTGGGGGAATAGCTAATAATCCTTTATCTGAAGATGAAGGAAAACATAATGATTACAGAACACCAAATGCCATAGCTATATACAAATGACAAGGCAGATGCAAACTGCAAAACCTTTGTCTGCTGATCACAAGTGTGAGATGCAGCTTCCTGCATTGCTTCTCCATGACAGGGTGGTTGGAGAAGAGAGAGAAGGTGATCTGATTTCAGATCATCATGGTGTCGTGTAGGCAGGATAAATATCTGTACATATTTCCCAGCACCTTTAATTCAAACATGAACAATTTTAGGCTACACAGAAGATAGACAAACCTCTCAGGCTACCTCCTCTTTTTTATTTATTTCTTTTTACAATTTACAGAAGGAATCTTTGTATTCCAAGAAAAGAATCAAAGTTCCCTCTTAAAAAAACAGAAAACTGACAAAATGAAAGAGTTTTTCTCATTCTGTTTAGAAGTAATTCTTCTTGAATCAGTAAGATGTAAAGAAAATGCAAAATACACATACCCACAGGTTCACACATGAGGATAGGAAATGGATTAGAATGATAACTAAAACTAAACTCAATATAGACTGAAGGATATTAATGCATGGCTCTTCCCGGCCCTCCTGAACCATAGAATCATAGAATAGTTAGGGTTGGAAAGGACCTTAAGATCATCTAGTACACATTTAAGAGGACAGTAACTGTCAGATGTCAAGATAACAGCTTTTACTAGAAGACTTTAAAACCAGATATGAAGTTGAGAACAGGTATTTTGTTTCATGTAACATCTGAAATGTTATTGAAAAGGCTACTACATTTAGGGGGTGGGTTTTGTTTTGTTTTTTTCTCATCATTTTGGAGACAAATATCTTACACACCTTTTCAAGTCCTTCTTCCTTGAGGCTGATAACATCTAAATCAAAATCTGTCCTTAAGCCATTGGTTTTGTTGAAAGTTATCCTGCCTGTGAGGCCTTCCCAGTGGGCCTACGGAGAAAGAAAAAACAATTTCTATAATAAATACCTCTTCTTTTGCCCTAAAAGAACAAATTTTATTTCTGCCAAAATGGAAACAAATTATTCACACTAACTAAATAATTTACCTTGTGATTGATTTTTTAAAAACTTATCTTGCATTCATTTATTGTGAATTAAATCAATCTTTCTTCAGTGTTCACACTCAATTTTTTAAACAATTCTCCATGTTAGCCAATAGACTATTTTTACTGCATGAGATAAAAGACTTTTTTTGTTTTCATTGCTCTATCATCTGTGCATACATTTCCCCTTCTGCTTCCCTACATGCCTCCACCTTCCCGTCCTAAAACTGCAATTTCTTTCATTGATGTGGATTTCATTTTTCTGTCATGAGATTTTAGTCAAATGAAGTTTTACTTTTGCAAGATGCTGAGTCCCCTGAAACTACACTGAGACAGCAAAAATTGAGGTCACTGAAACAGTCTTTCAGAGCCAATTCCTTAAATTTATTAAAGTACAGTATCTTCATTTCTTTATAACTGAAAGTGTGACTAATTCTAAAACTATATGGAAGTGGTGGAGAGACTGTGGAGAGACTGTGGAAAACAAAATTATTATTCTATAAGACTCAATGCTAAAACCAAGGTTTTTATTTCATCACAAATAGTTTTATCACAGCATTTTAGAATGAGCAATACTGCATTAGGTATTACTTACAGTACAAGACTTGAATACTCTATGGTGTTCATCTTTAGCACCTTAATTCTCTTGACTTTATTTTAAATGACTGTCTGTATCTAAATAGCATAATAGGAGACCAAGGCCACATACATTAATTCACCATGGGAGGGAAGGGCGGGGGGGGGGGGCAGTGAGAGAGAGAAAGAAAGTTAAATCGGGGAATAATTTTCATTCTTGACTTCTTTGAACATATGCCAGTAATGAGTTGCTGAATTTTTCGCAATCAGTCTATGGTCTATAGCTTGGGGGTTCAGGGCTTTGGATTTTTTTTTGCCACGTTTGACACACACACTATACGTCCCAATGATTTACAAACAAAACTTTTATTTAGAATGCAGTTCTTTCATCTTTTTATGTTTCTCTGTTCCAACTTATACATCAGGAAAACCCACTTTCAAATAAAAATGTTGTCTTGGCTGATAAACTCCTTACACACAACAAGCTGAGAGATTCCCATTTACTGAAAAAAAAAAAAAAAAGAAAAAGAAAAACGGCAGAATTCAAGTAGAATAGACACAAAAGAAAGTAGGAGTAGGGAGAAAGGAAAGCAATGAAGCAGAACACTATTAGTGACTTACCTCCTTAATGAGACTCATAAAGCGGGTCCCAAAGCGCCATGGTTTGTGGCGATTGCACTGTAGTGAACTGACAGTCATTTGTGGGAACTGCTGGACAGCCACTGACACCACATGAACTGCATCATACATTAGCGCTGCATCCGTCTGAAATTAGAATGAAATTGGAACCATGAACACACAAAAAAAAATATGTGACAGCCCAGTAGTGAGAGAAGGAAACAAGAACTTAGCCCTGCTCACTTTGTTAAAGAGAGCAAATGATCTGATTGCTTGTGTAACACTGTAAAATGCAACTTTATTGCCAAGTCCTAAATAAAATGCGTTGGAACCTTCAGACTCAGCTTTTCTCTTTTTAGTGCTGAAATAAGGGCCCAAATACCAATATTTCAGGATCACAGGAGAACACTGGTATTTCTAATCTCACATTACTTTAAAAAAAAAAGTGCATTATGAGGCTATATATATCATTATATACATTTTTGATTCAAACCAGTCATTTTCATGAGTGAGGCAAAAGAAAAAAAAAATGAAGAGCAGATTATTAAGGTAGCTATGAATGAAAGTGCGCAGACTAAGGAAATACTGATTTTCTGTTTTGAAATTACCACCTAGAGTCCCACAGGTACTCAACTGATTCATTAACAACTTTTTTTATGGGTATCAGTTTAAATCCCTGTGACAGATCTATCCAGCATCTTCTATAAATAAGAGGCAATTTAGAATTACATTAAAATACACATGCATTTTAATAGTTTTCATGTCCCATCCAAATAAATAGGCTCTTTATGCGTGGTATGTGTTAACCAATGTTGCATTAGCAAAGGACAGAGGCAGCCACTCAGTACAGCCTGGCATGTTGTACAAGAAACTGACATCTCTCTCCTGTTCTATCTGATAAACAGAGGCAAGCCTTGGAACCAAATGCAAGAAAGGACTTTAGATTCAATTGGTAGAGATGACTGCTATGCCATCTGCTCAGCATACCTTAGAGGAAAAGGACCTATTTCCCCTTCTCATTCACATAATTAGTGAGCTGTGAAATTAGTTCTTTAATGGATAGAAAACCTGGAGATTATTGCTCTTGTCACAATACAATACAGTGCAAAATGAGCTTATATAGTGCCTTTCACGCAAATGTATCCCAAGGCTCTTTACAATAAAACTAAACATAAAAATGCAAAAACGTTCCACCATAGCCCATAAGCTACTGCTAAAGAGGAAAATATACGTTTACATTTAAATGGCTCTTCCAAGGAGAGATTTAAAAATTCAAACAGAAATAAATCCTAATTTTAAAATAGCCAGTATAATAGCTTTCAATGATCTCATATGCTAAGTAGATTATGCAGAATCTCCAAATCAGTCAGAAAATATTTTTGCTGCCAAATTGTTCATTATCTTCAAGGCATTAAAGTGCTTTTAAGGCAAGCTGATACTTGACGAAGAGGCAGCAAAACACCAAATAGTTGGAATGACATGCTGAGTAAGCATCATACAAAGCTTAATATTCTAGAAGCAGTACTTGACAATAGTTGGAATCTAGACAACGCTTTTAAAATAAACTACACAAAAGCAGTACACATTACTCTGGCTCAATCAGTGTTACTTCTAAATCTGTAGTCCTTGCACCAGTGGAAAAAAACCCTGAAATTTCTGTGAAGCTTTTGCAAAAGCAGCCCATGAAGAAGCAACCAGGAGTTGATTAATTGGATATAAATTTGAACATGGAACTGATAACACTCATCAGGAAGAATCAAATGGACATTATGCCAGATTCATAGCAAAATACATTTCTACCAGACTCTGTAAACCAGTGAGCTGGAAATCTGTAGGATGTCAAGACAGTCAACTCCAGTGCAAGCATTAAAAAACAGATTTCAGTTTTAGACATAATTCAAATTCTGACAGTATTCTTCATATTTGACTGACAAATATTGCTTTGCTGGAAATAAATCTACATCAGAATGTACTTCTTTTCAATGCACACAACATAAACTAATCACTGGCTGGAAGCTTGATTTTTAGATAGTACGAGATAAAATATTTATTTACATAAGATGAGATTCCACAATCCACCTTTTTTAGGACGATTAAAGTTAAATGTAGGCTTAAATGCTTATACTGAATAAAGATAGAACCATATACTCATACTCAAAAAAACTGGTTTAGGGTGAAATCATTAACTTTACTGCAAGAGAAATAAACAGCACAGAACTCAAGAAAATATATAAAGTATATAATTGAATTGCAGGTTGGTCTCGCCTCTTGGTTTGTCACTTTACCTTTCCACTGAAAGACAGGAATTGATAGCTATTGGCCTAGCTCATTAGCTAGCTCATTCATTCATTAGCTTTATGTCTCACTGCCCTTTGTCCATACAGTTTTCTTTTAAATCACACTGTTGAAACTAGACTTTGTAGTACAGGATGTACTGCAGGTTTCAGCAAGAGCCTGTTTGAGAACCAGGAGGAAACATCCCTAAATTCATTTTTTAGGATTTTCTTTCATCTAAACCATAATTTACGCTCTGGAAGGAAGAAGATGTAGAAATTTCAAGAGTAGCAGTGGTTCTTGAATTTCAGATGGAAACCTGCTGCAGTGTTTCAATTTGCTGAAGTGCACATAAAACAAGAAAAATATGGTATTGAAAAGTTACATTAGTATTCTTTTAGTCAACTCATATGAACCTCTTAAGAATTACACAGTATTTCACAAAAGTATCTTTATACAGTTTCTGAATTGAAGGTTGGGGAACTTTTTAGATGGACAGTGCTATTTATTATTCATGATGAATTTCTTGGATATAGATAAAGTAATCTAAAATACTGATCATGATACTGACATTTTTTTTTCTACTACTACAAAAGAAAAAAAATTACAACTACAGAAGCTACAAAAACTTTTCATCAAATTGAAATATATTGACATTAAGTGATTAAGATGTCACATGACATCTGTAACCACAAGTATTTTTCAGTTGAGTCAATCAAATAACTAAGAAGTTTGTAACACTTAGAAGTAACAGCTTAATCAAATACATTATTTCAGTCATAATATATCTCTGGTAGAAACAAACTACCAGTCTGTGATTTTTCTCCCAAAGTCAGTTGGGTATTACACATTTTGTCTTGATATTGTTCTGTCATTTGTTTACCTCCTCTCTTACAGTGGGTGTTGTGTTTGCTTCTACTTTTTATGTTTTTTTTCTGTATAATCACTTTTGAGTCCTGCCAAACTACTTGCTAAATACTGTGTAAAAAATTACATGGAAGTACTCTAGCTTTACTGTGAAAGGGCTCTGGTGGAGCTAGGCTCAATATAAAGAAGGTAGAAAAAATAAAAGCTAACTCTATTATTAGAGAAAGAGGCTATTATTTCTCTCTGGGCCCCCTCAGAATAAAAGGTGGCTTTCTTTGTCTCCAGCCTCACCCAAAGATGTCAAAGGCACGTAAACTCTAGTAGATATATGCTGTGATTTTCATCACATGCTTGCTTGCCCTGGTTAAACAGTATTGTAGGGTTTGAGTTTGAGGACTTGGAGCCAGGGAAGGAAGTTGGAAAGGTTTTTATTGGTTTCTAACCTGTATGGGTGAAGCTGATGCAGAAGAAAACCACTATAGCCTGTGTTTCAGCCAAGAAGAAATCTACCCCATGTAATGGAACTAACAAACTGCTTCTCTACTAAGTTCTTCTGCTATACAAAAGGTGTGATTTTTAATAACCTTCAGTATGGCTCATAGGTTGGGCAAGAATCATCTGAAAAATCCTGAAACCAATGGTGTGTTTATGCACTACAGCTGCAGACTGAGATCTAGGTTTGTATTTTAAGACCTTCCAAAAAAAAAGTGAGAGAAAGGACTCACACTGACATACAGAAAAAATCCAAACAAAACTTAAAGAACAGAGGAATCATGGTCTTCATAATCATCTTCAGACTAACTGTACATAAGAGTTCATTGGTGCGATTTGATCCTAGACAAGGATGAATTATTCACAATGAAAATAATTCATTTTCTTAGATCAAAAGGTTCTTCTATTTAGAAATCTGTGATGCACAAGACCTCATAATTGCCGTGTTTGCCAAAGGTTTTCAGCAGTTGTGGCGAACTCTTTTTCCACAGAAAAGGAGCCAGAGAAGAGGGCCAAAGATTTTAGGAAAAGAAAAAAAAAAAAAAACAGAAAAAAATCACAAAACATTTAGTTAAGAAACTAACATTTTAAGAAAGTCTTATTTATTTATTTAAAAAAACCTTAAATTTTAACAATTTAAGAAAATTAGACTTCTTAACCCTTTGCAAAATTCTTTTAAGTGTAAGATATCATTAAAGATGACATCATGGCAAGCATGATACATACTTGTTTACAGCAATCTGTATTTTGTGTTTGAACTTGACTTTATTCAACTCATGTCCAGTAAAAACAAACTAATGCCCCTTTACCTCCGAAAGAAGAAAAAGGAAGAGGAAATAAAAATGAAATATTTTATGTGTGTCAAAAGAGGAGTAAAATTTCTAAACTTGTCTCAGAATTAAATTTAGATACAACTCTTCTAAAATGCAACTTGAAACTCTCTAGATAGATAGTCTAAGAAGACTAAATTTTCCACAACAGAAAAGATGTTGTCAAACTACCTTTCTTCATCAAAACCAAAGCCAATGAGAGAAAAAATGCAATGGTGTAATATTCTATATCACAGTTGACAGGCCCCGTCCTATCACAAGGTGGAGATCTGAATCTGCATTTACCAGTCACTACTGTCATTAGAATCAGGTTACATCATAAATTAAATATATCCAGATTTTCATGCCTTGGATAGAATATTGGATGCAAATTCAGGTTCTTGTGGCTTGGGGGTTTCTTTTTTTTTGTTTTGTTTTTTTGCTTTATTTTGTGGAGTTTTTTTCCATGCCCATTATATCCACACTATTTCTAGTCAGCTCTATGAAAGACACAGTTGGCACAGAACAATTAGGAGCCTAAGAAGACTAGCTCTATTTCTTTGATCTGACAGCCTGAACAACTAATGCATACTAGAGGTACAATGAAGAGGACAGACTAATCAAGACTCCTTCACCCCCAGCATAAACTTTTTATGAAGAAATAACATTATTTAGGATATGCTACACAAAAGGATTTACAATGGC